TTTGTAGATGTGGACTCTTGCCACCATGTTCTTGAGATCCGTAAGGCTGGTCAAAATGATCCTTATCTGGGAAATAGGGCTAGAGCTTGACTTTGAAGAATAGACGGCAAAGAAGGAGACCTTCAAGAATGCACTTGAATTACTAAATCCAAGGTGCATCTTGAATTATTTATATACTCTTTTAATATCATCTTTTTCTTAAAGATTATAAGCGGAGCAATAGCTATTTAATTTACAAATATCCTTGTAAGAATCTATGAGCACTTTAACAGTGAGAAGTCCATGAAGAATAGCTAAGTCAAATGGAAACAGACAAAGCCATTAGGTAGATGGGACAGGAAGGGTGCGCAGTGGAGAAGTATGCACTTGTATTCAGAAAAGTATCTATTTACACTCCCTCCTATCATGGGATAGGAGAAAATGTCTCGCTATGGAAAAGTCCACCTGTCTAAACTTGAACTAATTAGCTTCTTCATTAAACATGCTTCACTGCTCTTCTCTATGCTAGTGAATGATGCCACCACCATCTAGCTCGTCCTTCATTTCCCTGCCCCAACATCTAATCAGTCATTAAGATGTGAAATGAGAAGTTTGAGGTTTGCAAGCCCAGCCCTGCCACTTACCAGATAAATAACTTTGGGAGATTGCTTGATTCCTAACTCGCAACATCCTCATTGGTAAAACATGGACAAAAATAGAACATATTTTATAAGTTGTTAGAATTAAAGTGTATCTACAATGTCTGTAAAAGTTATTACTAAAAGCATTTGGAGTATTTTGCTGTTGCTATTTAGTCATAGAAATACAAACAAAAGACTCTGTGTTAGGCTCATCATTTTATAAACATGTATTATACACGCGCACACACACACACACACACATTCTAATGTCTATCTGTATAGCTATATTATAAATTAAATACTATAAAACAGAATTTAAGAGAACAAACCTTACACTCAGACACAGCTAAATTAAGCTTAATATTGGGTCTACCATTTTCTAGTTGTGTTATCTTGAATACATCACTTGACAGCTTCAAGGGTCAATTTCTTCATCTATAAAACAGTTATTGTGAGCTTGCAATTAATTAGCACATGATAAGCATATCACACAGTACCTGACACAATGCAAAAGTCCAAGGAATTTTAGTCATTATATCATGAGATTTTTTCACAATATACAATGTGCATACATTAATGTATACTTTCTGACTGAACAAGAACTGTGGAATATATTTTCAAATAATTGTTAAAATATGATTTTATTAAGAAATCTCCACATTTTATAGTTACTTATTTTCCAAACCATCCTGTTAACCCAGATCACCTGTGTCAGTGAGCAAGCAGGCACTCTAAGAAGCAGTACGTGTATAGAAAGATAGAACCACGAAAATAGAGCTCAGCTTAAATACTGGAAGGGCAAAGTCAAAGCCAGAATTACAGTAATGTCGCAGAAGCAAAACATCCACTTTCCCTCCTGATGCCTAAAAACACACTCAGGCTGCCCGTGGCTGCTCTTAGAGTCTGCCAATCGGCCTTTTCTCCTTGCTTCATGAATATTCCATAAACCATAAGCTTTCCAATTCCCAAGAAATAAAAATGGTAACCATAAAACTCTGCTAGGCCATTAACAGCCCATAGGTCACATATAGTGACCATGAATCAAACGACTAGTGAGCTTTCCCAAAGGACCAGTGAATTATCAAATATTGTGAGGAGTTTAAACACATTTTAAACTAAGGCAGCATTATTCAAATAAGCAAAGAGCTACACAAGTTGGAACACATTAGAATAACACAATTTTAACTATTTGATTAAAATCTATACTGAAAATCCAAACTTACTAAGATGATTAGAATACTTCCTTGCAGCAACATATTTTAAACTCTTGCTCTTAACATACTCTTTCCCCTTCTTGATTTCCTTCTCCTTATTTATCTATGTTTTTCTCTGTCTCCTTCCCTTCCTCAATTTTAATGCATTCTCAACCTTCAAAGCTAGACTTACTGAAAGTATTCAATGACAACTGAAGCCCCAAAGCCAGGTGTGTTCTGGCAGCAATATGTGCTCTGGAGGATGGATGGCCAAGTCATTAATCACAGTCCTTAGAACGCAGATTCTTCAAGGAAACTGCTCTGGAGATCCCAGTTATAACACATACACGGCTGCACACTGGAGAGGATGTGAACATATATTTTGATGAAACTTATTATAAATTCCTTCCAAACCTGTAAAGACCATGACTCTATGCCCTTCACAAATTTCATCATCTGATTCTTTGTCAGGCCGTTTGCACACAGCATGCGGCCAGTGCTGCCAAGAGGACTGACAGAATCCAAGCGGACTTAGCCAACCGGACGCGGCAACGCTAGCATTCATCAGTGATCACAACTGTTACACTCAGAAAATAGGCTTCAAGGCGGTATTACTTCTCATCCCGCCTTTGGAAATTCTGCAGAATAGCTTTATGCTAGTTAAGCAGTACTTTCAAGTATATACAATAACACTAGGCAAGGAGTCTTATCACCTTGCAAAAATGAAAAGAGAACCACATCAAATCATTATAAACAGAAAAAAACTACATAGATATCTGTGTGTGTATACATATATATGTATATATATATATACATAATGTCTCCAAACGCAGGATCTTTAGACTTTAGCAATCCTGGGATCAGGGGGAGCTGATAGCTACAAGGAAAAGTCAATATATTTAATAACTTATGCACAAGACAAATAACAATATGCACAAGACAAAACTAGTTAAAATGCAAAACTAACACAATCTCATTTTTGGAGAATTTTTCTTAACTTTCTTGGTATTTGAAAGATCAAGAAGAAAAGAAGTGATTTATAAAGTTATTAAGAGGTGACATAATAATGTTTTAGGTAAAATTAGTAACTAATAGTCGACTCCTTAATTTCCATCAAACATTTATCAGCTTTAGTATAATTCAGACCACAATGAAAATATCAGTAACATTCAAATCTATACAGGTAACATTTCTGAACATAAGGTGGTTCAACTAAAAATACAGTGAAGCTAGATAAACAAACAATATCCCTTTTGGAACTTATTATCTTCCAAATAATTATGAGCTTATATAGAAAAATAGCAGCATAACTGCAGAATATTTAGCAAATAATTATGATAATATATCATTAAAAAGTTATGAATTATGGCCAAAGCTGTATGCAAAGGAAATCTCATTGCAATGAAGGAAACTTTATTATTAAATAAGAAACAATGAAAATAGATTAAGAACTAAACTAAAAATGCTAGAAAAAGAGTAACAAAATTAACCTGCAGAAAGATGAAATTAAAATAAATCTTAAGTCAACAATAAGAATAAAAAGCAAATAAATAAACACAGGATAGTTTTTTAAAGGAACGGCAGACAGAATTATTCTACCAAGGCCTCAATACAACAAATCAAAACAACAAACACAACAAAACAACAATAAAAGGCAGAAAGGACACAAAATCACTTATGGGGAGAGGGAAAGCGAATAAAGCTGTTGATAATGAGTTTTTTATCTGACAATAGTAAACAAAATTCATCCTAATAATTTTGAAAATCTTGATGAAATTGATTTCTTTAGAAGAAAATGTAAGCTATCCAAACTTACTTTAATGGAAGGACAGTAATTTTTCTATCAGCTCATCTGTCATTCTTAGAGAACCGGTGCCCGGATCCCTGTCCTGGGAAGGAGAGCTATAAACTGGAGGACACTTAGCAGCTCATACCTACCCGGTAAACGGCTAACCTAATTTGCTCTACTGGCATCTTCCCTGGGAGGACCTCCTGACTGCCTGGCCTCGGAACTGAATTCCACTGTTGCCACAAGGCCCTAACATTTCCTTCCCACTTTGGTGGTTCAGCACTATCAAAGCAATGCACCATCTAATGTACCTGTTTTGCTATATATATACATTTTTTATAAATTTTCTGTCTCCCCTGTCCTACATACTTAAATGCAAGTCCATAGAGTAAGATAATTATCAGAGGGCTTTGTATGCCTTTGTTTCTCAGATCATCAACAGTGTCTGGGGCATAGTTGGTATTACATGTGTATTTGGTGGATGAGTGAAAAAAGAATGAATGCATGTTTGAATAATTAAGGGGATGAGTTATTACCTATAGAGAATAGTGTTGGTGACTTACGTACACTTTGATTTGGGCACACGCAGACGAAAGGAGCTTTAGACTCATTTGTGGCAGCAACTACAATAAGGCTGTGTATAAGTGACCATAGATACTTCTTTGATTCAGGAAAGAAAATGAGAGAGATAGTGGAGTCTCAGAGGAGGAGGACAGAAGGAGGAGGAGGAAGAGGAGGTGATGATTGCTTGCTTTCTCATTTTCATGATGATTTGCTATTTTTGTACAGCTGGTATCCAAAAGTCACTTTTTAATTTTTTTTATTTTGCAGAATCACTTATGTGCCCAAATTAAATTACAGTAGCTCTTATATACTTTCATATCCTTTTAGATCTGTCCCTTTAGGACAAGACTTCTCAATCTTGGATGGATATCACCTGCACCTACAAGTCTTCTTGTTTATTGGTTTTCTTTTCTTTTTTCATACAAGGGCACAGCCCCATGGGGGCAGTTCTAATGCAGAGCCATGCTAAGAATCGCTGCTTTATTTTGTTCAATGAACTCTACAAAGATGCTTTTCCAACCTGCTTAAGGGTATCCACAGATTTCTCTTAAGTGCATACATAAGATTTTGCTCCCTAAATATTAAAAAGTTTTAAATTCTGAACTTTCATTTGAACTAGCTCCAAGTACATCTGTCTCATCCAGAGCTGTTTAATTTTTAAGCCATTAATCATAGTTTCAAAGTTGAAATTTATGATTATCCTTTAATATTTTTTGAATGTTTAAATGAGTTACAAATTATCATTGGGATTTTCAACTTCCTAGCTTTTCCCCTGGCAATGGAAATTTTACCAAGATGCTAAAATCATGAGCTAATGGATATTAAGTCAAATACCTGCAGAGGTGTTTCAAGATGCTTTTCTCTCAGCACTGGAGCAGCTGAAATTTCCTGGGGGGCTTTTGATGTCTTCCTTTTGGCTTTTTCCATTTGAACATTGGTAAAGTAGTTGACGGCAGCAAACTCAATAAGGGCCGAAAATACAAAAGCAAAGCAGACAGCTATGAACCAATCCATGGCAGTCGCATAGGACACTTTGGGTAAAGAATGCCGTGCACTGATGCTCAGCGTGGTCATGGTCAGGACTGTGGTTATTCCTTCAGAGGAAAAGAGCAAAGAGACAAAATACTTTCTGGTTACTTCTACACAGAAAAAAACAACCAAACAAAAAGATCTGGAAATTTGGTGCGGTGTCAGTAACAAAGTTTATAATAACTCAAAACAAACCATCTTTGATATGATTCCAATCCTAATGGTTCAGTGAAATTAGCACAGGCTTTGGAGTGAGAGACAGATGTGGTTCAAATACTGACTCCTCCAATCACTGGCTCAGTGTGAGTTGGATCAAGTTAGGAAAACACACTGGGTTTCACTTGATACCCACTTACTGAGTTTACTATGAAGACTTAAAGTATGTCAGGCAACTGACATGTTGGGTTGACATTAGTACCCAGGCCAATATACCTGAGAAACTGAACACCTAACAGGAAGTGTGACTCACTGAAGCACTGGTTCTCAGCCAGCAGTGGGAAGATGGTAGCTCTGGAAATTAAAGGATCAGAACTTCATGCCTGGGGTAGGCATGGCCCATGTGATTGAAACTCTCTACCAGAAAAACCACAAGTTATATACACTCAAAATCTTTACCTGAATATTACCTATTGAATTAAAATAATAAAGGTACTAGTTATAAAATAGCTCAATTTATATAAAACAGAAGGAATGCTCCCAAGAAATAGGTTTCTAGAGCAATTTGGTTTTAAAAATATTGGACATCTCAGTTCAGTTCAGTCACTCAGTGATGTCCAACTCTTTGCGACCCCATGGACTGCAGCAAGCCAGGCTTCCCTGTCCATCACCAACTCCTAGAGCTTGTTCAAACTCATGTCCATTGAGTCGGTGATGCCATCCAACCATCTCATCCTCTGTCGCCCCCTTCTCCTCCTGCCTTCAATCTTTCCAGGCATCAGGGTCTTTTCCATCAAGTCAGTTCTTTGAATTAGGTAGCCAAAGTATTGGAGCTTCAACATCAGTACTTCCAATAAATATTCAGGACTGATTTCCTTTGACTGGATATCTACGGCCCTTCAGTTTATGGTTGGCAGGAAAATACTGGTAACAAGAATAACAGTATTTCTCTCCCATCAATAAGCTTCTGAAGCATATCATCTCCAGAAAAACCTTTTCTGCAGAGCCTGGAAAAATGTCAATCCCCATTCTCAATGGGAAAATCCCACTTGCCACTGAAACTGTAGAGAAATGCATGATTTAAGGATGTTAAATATTCGCACAATTGCCCCTGTCTGCATATCTCTTTCTCTGTGGATCTAATCCATGTTATGTAGGTAAGTTTGGAAAATTTATTTGGAGATTTATCATATCCATTTAAATCATTCTATGTAATACTTAGGAAATCTCCTGATTTGATACACTCAGATGTTTGGAATGATGATGATGAAGACAGTAACAATGATGAAGGCATGAACTACTTATTCCAATCCACGCCAATCCCTAGCCTAAAGTCACATATTAAACTGAAGGGACAGCGAGCCCCATGCAGTAATGAAGGAATAAAAACATTGTGATGCAGGGAGAACTAACGTTGTCTCTTCAACTGGGCACTTGGCTCTACTCTGCCTTGTGTTGTTCCCTAATTGTCCCATTTCTGTGGCTTTGTTTCCACAACTCATTAAGCATTGACTCCTTAAGGCAGAAATGTTGAACACCGCTTTGGGGTTTACCATATTTCACACAGTGCCAAGCACATGATAAATGCGTGGTAAATAAAAATACATTTTTCAGCTTCTCACCAATCCATTTTCTTTCCAATCCTTTCTGAACTGTCAGTTTTAAAACGAGAGGTTAGAACAACTGTGTAACTTCTGAGCTACGGATGTTTCAAAAATATTCCATAAACCATACAAAGGGAATAAGTTGAGAATTTGGTTGTATTCTCTTTTAAAAGAAATGTTTGTGATATTTTTAACATTTTATAAGTTTAAAACAGACTTAAAATATGTTTACTCAATCAAATATATAAATATCTAAATGCTTATGAAAATGCAACATTGTGAATTTATTAGACTTTGTTTCAGAAAGAGACCTCAGGACTTTTAGGCCTCTATTTTATTTTATTTTTATTTTTAGGCTTCTATGTTAAATTTCAGGAAAATGGCACCATCCCCATGGTCATTGTGAGATAGTGAATAAACCCTAAATTAATTCTGAAAACTTCTAGCTCCAAAATTTAAATATAAATCAAAGTTTTTCTTCTTATTCATAGCTAGTTAAATGGCCTATTAAGAATTCAAAACTGTTCTACAACTTTATTAGGTATATTTCCTCTAATAGCATAGAAATTATACTGAAAGAGCTTGAAAATAAAATATAAACAGTGCCATTTAAATAAGAATACTACTCAGAAATCAGAAAGTTTTACAGAGACCGTAATGTAATCAAAAAGGAATCTGAAACTCAAATATAAACAACTTAAGATTATCCATGTTGCTTTGAACATTTTTTTGGTAATAGAACAATTTCTCCTGAGGATAAGCAGTAATGGTCTTTTTCTCTCCTGCATTATGAGAAGAAATTCCATCATTAATGACAAGTAAGCAGAATATTAATGCAATTATCGAGCTGTGAATCCAAAAATGCCTTTCTGACTGTTAAGGAGGGTAGGTCACCAAGTTTATGAATATGTTCAACAATATATGGCTATGTGGCTGCTTTGCATTTCTTTTTTATTGTCTAGAGTACACTTGATTTAAAAACTTTCAGAAAGATCTTTCAGATATTATGTTTCCTATTTTAAGACTGTTGGCAAAATTAAGAAAATAACTGGCATAAACAGTTGGCTGAGTGTTTGAAATTGCCATCCCTTTAGACATTAAGAAGTTTCTCTGTCTGGAGTTCAATTTTAAGAAAGAACTAGCACGACAGGAATGGGCTTTTTGCACCTGTGTCTAGTGAAGCAGTTGGTTCAATGGACACCAGCAAAACAGCGATAGATGCTAACCTCTCAGATAAGAAGCGATGCTTCTTCTGCATATGGGAAGACAGTACATCTGTTACCACATCTACCCCAAAAATACTTTAATAACCATGGAACTTTTTTGACAAGTTCAGATATTGATGCCAGGCCCTGTTTTTAGAATGCTGAATATGCACCATATTGGCTGGCCCAGGAGCTGGAAGAGGACATTTAAGAGTAGCCTAAGACTATACACAGGAGTGAATTTTGGGCCAGCCACTCCTAGAAAATGAACTAGTAATGATGCAGACATGCCAGCTGGCATTTACTCAGATTTCATGTTTTACCCTATTGGAATAACTAGAAAATTTAAGAGGCATATATCTTTAGAGATAGACCTTTCCAGAGAACTTAGCATACTCTACTTCTCGTATTTACACTAATTTTTATTCATTTTTGTTTTTGCATGATCTCGAGTAACATCTCTTACCCAGCAAATTCTTTCTTGAGTAAAGAGAAAAATGAGAATTGGGACAGATAAATGCTAGCCCAGAATTATTTCTTTTTATTTGAGTCTCATATGAAATAGACTGTTCACCACCACCACCACCACCACCCCCCCACATACTTAAAACTTAACTTCCATTGAAAATCTCAACAATTAAATAGTTACTATTCTGGCACATCTTAGGTCTTAGAAGACTTCATTATTGGGCATAATCTTCCTGGTCAATCCAAACCAGTACCTCGGTGCCTGAGCACAGTCAGCAGCGAATAGAAGAGTCCCCACAAAGTGCGCAGAGTACATAGCCATGCAAACCCAGGCAGCAGCGCTGAAGGCATCCGCAAGCTCCCGGGTCCCCAGACGGCCTCCCCACCCCACCCCACCACATGAAGGCAGAGTGGCGGACGGGCGTGAGCGGGTTCTCAAAGTGAGGCAGGAATTGTTCTGGGTTTATCACTTCAATATATGATTTTATACAAGTTTCTTAACCCCTTTGTGTCTATACCCTTATCCATATAAAATCGCCAATGCCAACTTGCTGAGTTATTCTGGAGATTAGATAAGATGCTTTCTATCAGTACATGGCAAATGTTATTATCATTATTATTAGTGTTACCAGTATCCTTACTGTGTGATACACAATTTCCTTATGTTAGCTTATCTGGATAGGAAATATTGAATGGATACAGCTATAACCAACGCTCTCCCCCACACATACCACTGGAAATTTCTATTATTTGGGGACAAATGAGACAGAACAGTGGCTATGAGTTTGTAATCAACCAAGAAAGCATTCAAAGCTCATCAACCAATCACAATAACTATAAAATAAAGAGAACAGTCACATGGGATAGTATCAAGTAGCAAGTCTCAAAATGAGAGAAATAGCAGCTCGGACTGTCAGAATAGTATCCAAATAAACTCACTGAATCCTCACAGCAACCTTATGCAGTAGTCACAATTCATCCTGTTGTAAGACTTGAGGAAACAGGCAGAAATAACTCACTGAAGGCTCACAGCTAATAAATGGTAGACTTCAGGTTACAACCTAGGCCATCTTGCTCCAGAGTCTGCACTTTTGACGTGGATACCTCTTAATGAAAGGCATCATTAATGGGGCAATATTTTCTGCTGCAGAAATTATTTAGGAGCATAGGATAAAGATGGTAATACATGTGGAAGTGATTTTATTCTTATTTTGAATGATGATAGTTCCTGAAACATTAATATTATTTGTACAAGGGAAAGTTAAGGGACTTTGATCTGGTTCTCAGCCTTTAACTTTCTGCCCAGTCAGGCTGTCTTTATACATGATGTACACACCCAAGGTTAACTGAGTGTTCACTGCACTTAATGAGACAATGAACACCAAGCATTTAGCAAATGAATCTTTTGTTGGTAACACGGATGGACCTAGAGATTATCATACTGAGGGGAAGTAACCAGACTGAGAAAGAAAACTATATAATAGGATATCACTTACATGCAGAATCTAAACACTGATAAAAATGGACTTATTTATAAAACAGAAACAGAAACATAGACAGAAAAGAAACTTATGGTTACCAAAGGGGAAGAAGATGTGGGAGGAACAAACTAAGAGTTTGGGATTAACATGCAAACTACATACATAAAATAGATAAACAACAAGGGTGACTGTATACTCAGTATTTTGTAATAATCTATAAGGAAAAAGAATCTAAAAATATATACATATATGTTTATAGGTATATCTACATATATATACTGAGTCACTGTGCTATATAACGTAAACTAACACAATGCTGTAATAATGCTGTAAAGAGCAATATCGCATAGGAACCTGGAATGTTAGGTCCATGAATCAAGGCAAACTGGAACTGGTCAAACAGGAGATGGCAAAAGTGAAAGTCGACATCCTAGGAATCAGCGAACTAAGATGGACTGGAGTGGGTGAATTTAACTCAGATGACCATTATACCTACTGCTGTGGGCAGGAATCCCTTAGAAGAAATGGAGTAGCCATCATGGTCAACAAGAGAGTCCGAAATGCAGTACTTGGCTGCAATCTGAAAAACGACAGAATGATCTCTGTTCGTTTCCAAGGCAAACCATTCAGTATCACGGTAATCCAAGCCTATGCCCCAACCAGTAACGCTGAAGAAGCTGAAGTTGAACAGTTCTATGAAGACCTACAAGGCCTTCTAGACTAACACCCAAAAAAGATGTCCTTTTCATTATTGGGGACTGGAATGCAAAAGCAGGAAGTCAAGAATCACCTGGAGTAACAGGCAAATTTGGCCTTGGAATACAAAATGAAGCAGGACAAAAGCTAATAGAGTTCTGCCAAGAGAACGCACTATTCTTAGCAAACACCCTCTTCCAACAACACAGGAGAAGACTCTACACATAGGCATCACCAGATGGTTGACACTGAAATCAGATTGATTATATTCTTTGCAACCAAAGATGGAGAAGCTCTATACAGTCAGCAAAAACAAGACCTGGAGCTGACTGTGGCTCGGATCATGAACGCTTTATTGTCAAATTCAGACTTAAATTGAAGAAAGTGGGGAAAACCACTAGACCATTCAGGTATGACCTAAATCAAATCCTTTATGACTATACAGTGGAAGTGAGAAATAGATTTAAGGGACTAGATCTGACAGAGTGCCTGATGAATTATGGACGGAGGTTCGTGACATTGTACAGGAGACAGGAACCAAGACCATCCCCAAGATAAAGAAATGCAAAAAAGCAAAATGGCTGTCTGAGGAGGCCTTACAAATAGCTGTGAAAAGAAGAGAAGCGAAAAGCATAAGAGAAAAGGAAAGATATTCCCATTTGAATGCAGAGTTCCAAAGAATAGCAAGGAGAGATAAGAAAGCCTTCCTCAGTGATCAATGCAAAGAAATAGAGGAAAACAATAGAATGGGAAAGACTCGAGATCTCTTCAAGAAAATTCGAGATACCAAGGGAATATTTATGCAAAGATGTGCTGAATAAAGGACAGAAATGGTATGGACCTAACGGAAGCAGAAGATATTAAGAAGAGGTGGCAAGAATACACAGAAGAACTGTACAGAAAAGATCCTCACGACCCAGATAATCACGTTGGTGTGATCACTCACACTCACCTAGAGCCAGACATCCTGGAATGTGAAGTCAAGTGGGCCTTAGGAAGCAACACTATGAACAAAGGTAGCAGAGGTGATGGAATTCCAGTTGAGCTATTTCAAATCCTGGAAGGTGATGCTGTAAAAGTGCTGCACTCAATATGTCAGCAAATTTGGAAAACTCAGCAGTGGCCACAGGACTGCAAAAGGTCAGTTTTCATTCCAATCCCAAAGAAAGGCAATGCCAAAGAATGCTCAAACTATTGCACAATTGCACTATCTCACACACTAGTAAAGTAATGCTCAAAATTCTCCAAGCCAGGCTTCAGCAATACGTGAATTTCCAGATGTTCAAGCTGGTTTCAGAAAAGGCAGAGGAACCAGAGATCAAACTGCCAACATCCACTGGATCGTCGAAAAAGCAAGAGAGTTCCAGAAAAACATCTATTTCTGCTTTATTTATTTATTTATTTATTATTGACTATGCCAAGCCTTTGGCTGTGTGGATCACAATAAACTGTGGAAAATTCTGAAAGAGATGGGAATACCAGACCACCTAACCTGCCTCTTGAGAAATCTGTACGAAGGTCAGGAAGCAACAGTTAGAACTGGACATGGAACAAGAGACTGGCTCCAAATAGGAAAAGGAGTAAGTCAAGGCTGTATATTGTCACCCTACTTATTTAACTTCTATGCAGAGTACATCATGAGAAATGCTGGGCTGGAAGAAGCACAAGCTGGAATCAAGACTGCCGGGAGAAATATCAATAACCTCAGATATGCAGATGACACCACACTCATGGCAGAAAGTGAAGAAGAACTAAAGAGCCTCTTGATGGAAGTGAAAGGGAGTCAAAAAGTTAGCTTCAATCTCAACATTCAGAAAACTAAGATCATGGCATCTGGTCCCATTACTTCATGGCACATAGATGGGGCAACAGTGGAAACAGTGTCAGACTTTATTTTTGGGGGCTCCAAAATCACTGCAGATGGTGACGGCAGCCATGAAATAAAAAGACGCTTACTCCTTGGAAGGAAAGTTATGGCCAACCTAGACAGCATATTAAAAAGCAGAGACATTACTTTGTCAACAAAGGGTCATCTAGTCAAAGCTATGATTTTTCCAGTAGTCATGTATGGATGTGAAAGTTAAACTACAAAGAAAGCCGAGCACTGAAAAATTGATGCTTTTGAACTGTGGTGTTGGAGAAGACTCTTGAGAGTCCCTTTTGCTGCAAGGAGATCCAACCAGTCCATCATCCTAAAGGAGATCAGTCCTGGGTGTTCATTGGAAGAACTGATGCTGAACCTGAAACTCCAGTACTTTGGCCACCTAATGGGAAGAGCTGACTCACTGGAAAAGACCCTGATGCTGGGAGGGCTTGGAGGCAGGAGGAGAAGGGGACGACAGAGGATGAGATGGTTGGATGGCATCACCGAGTCAACGGACATGAGTTTGGGTGGACTCTGGGAGTTGGTGATGGACAGGGAGGCCTAGCGTGCTGCGGTTCATGGGATGGCAAAGAGTCAAACATGACTGAGTGATTGAACTGCACTGAACACAATGTTGCAAATCAACTGTACTTCAATTAAGAAAAAAGAATTTTGCAGAGTGTAGAGCATTACATAATAGAAAGATGCATGGTTTCTTTTAAAAAGTTAATAATCAAGGCAACAAAGTCAAAACAAAATTAATCTCCCCTGTATAATAGAGCATCTGGGAGTAACAAGTATGGCTAAGTGGGCCATATACCCTGTAATGAGTACCACACATTATTCTAAATCTCCACGAGTCTAGCAAAGAGAGACGTGGTATCACAATGTTATGGAAGGAGAAATTAAGTGGCAGATGTGGGTTTTAAACCCTGACCCACTGGAAAATAAACTGGAATGTGTTGTTTTCTCTCTTTCACTTCCCATCTATTTTCAATAGCTAAGTTTTTTCAACACTCACAATGAGCAGTTATTCTTTAATTGAACCCTCGCAACTCTAAGCAGCATACAGTCCCACTACACCTGCTCAGTGGCTTCTTGGGGTCGCTCTGCCCGGAGCATTAACCCTGCTCTAAGAGTTTCCCCAGTAAGATTCCAAAACCTTCTTGAGTAAACCTAAGATTAAAGCAGTGGGGGTGTCCGTGGACTATGTCCCCACATTCAGGTCAACTGAGACACTAAGATGGCCCTCATCAGAAAGTCTCTAAATGGGTCAGGGTGGGATGAGAAGTTCCCACTCTCTTCAGTTCCTTCTTACCAGCATTCTTTCAGCTTTTGTGTGAAGAGGGGTATTATATCATGGCTTCGATCTGACTTTCTACCAAAGAGAAAAAAGCAATGGGAAGCTGGCCTCTCTCATGGGGACTATACCTCCATTCCAGAGCAATTCTGATCATTTTCATTCTTGTCCTACAGCTGAATGCCTTTTCCACTCACAATCAATAGGAAAAAAAAGAGAGATATTAAATTAAATGTCATTATAACTAATTGTAATATTTAAAAGCATGGCTGATATGCAAAGGCTTATTAACAGCTAAAAAAATTAAAACTCATGTGTTCTGGATTTGATACATTGACAAATGATATATAGGAAGCCAGTATATAAACAAAAAGAAAAAATGTGGCATATTCAGAAAATAAGGTGTAGATGGACTACAACAATGAGTTAATAAACTAAGCATATAATACTTTCAATTCAATGCATTTAAACCTTTTGTTCCTCTTCATTAAAAGGCAAATATTTCTAAGGCTTTCATATTCATTCATCCATGACTTTTGTTTTATTTTAAGCTCCCAGTGCATTTCATTTTAACACCTGGACATGATTTTAATTCAATTGCACAGCATTAAGCTAGGCACCCAAGAATATCACCCACAGTGAAATTATATTCAGATTCACACTTGGTCTTCACCTGCCAGTTCACAATAAAGGAAATCTGATGGGGACCTAAACGAAAGGATGGACTGCACTTATCCTCTCAAGCTTTATTACTTTGTATTAGCTGATAAAAATGAAATCTTATGTGACTCTTTACTTAGCACAGCCAGATATATTACTGTTTAATATTTTCTCAGAGATGATATCTAAAGGCTAGTCCCATGAATCACAATGAAAATGTAAGGTGGACAAAAATAACCAAGAAATGAATTATAATTACCAAATACAGTCCTAGCTGGAACTGATTCCTTATTTATCCAGAATGAAACTTGAGAAAGAATTACTGTCATAATACAGGGAATGTATGTTTGAATCATAAAATAACCCATCTTCCGTCTGAGGTGAAAGTAAACCGTCATAACAATATATTCACCTGTGAATGAAGCATGAGGAAAATTGTTATATTAATAGGTCCTGTGAGCAAATATTCAATGGTTTTATAATCATATTTCAAAATAACAAACAGTATTCTAGGCAAAGAAAGTACCTGCTCTGCATGACAGCACAAGCATTGAGAAGTATGAAGTTCCCAACGAGGGTAAAACAATACTAAGCATCATTACACAGAAGAATATTTCTGTTGTTACATCGTGATTAAGCAATTTAGTAAGTTGGGCTATAATTTTATAAAAATTCTTGCAGTGCTTTCTATTTTAAAGATCTAACACTGCAAAAGCAATTAGACTTCATTTTCAGCATTTTTAAGAGCAGAATTTAGTTAGCTTTTATGAAAAATCACTAGGAAAAAAACATGAAAATACACACACCTGCATGAAAATATAAAGCCTCATTTTAGAAAGAAATGTAATACACAGCTCTACATTATATATACATATATTCTTAGAGAAAGGTTGCCTTATTGTCTTAGTTTCAGGAAAAAAACTTTCTTTCTAAATGTGATATATGTGAAAAAAAAATATAAAATACATATAGATCCATCCATAACATCCCTGAGTTCAGGTATGTTTTATTAGCATTTAGACAAAAACCTGAAAAAGACAGTAAGTAAATATATCACAAGATTTCTGGTAGCTCTTGATAATATTTTTAATATTACATCTGAAAGTAACATATTAAGAAAGTAACTCAGGAAGCAGTAGTCTTATTCTCAGACTGAAGACTCAAATCTTCCCAAAACATATTTTTAATACCACTTACAGGCTGGTATTTAAGTGTTTTCAAAAAATATTTTCCTGGTGATACATATACATAAGGAATAATTTAATGACAAGCAATAATCAGCTGTTTTTCTCCCATTGAGTGTGACAAAAACTAAGTCCTATGATTCTTTCCATTCACATCCCCAAAACAAATACAGACCAAGAATCCTCAATAATAACCATTCATCTACTCACATCTCAGCTTTAATATATGCCCGTAACATATTTTATAATTAAATTTTATATTTTGCCTTTATTTTTGAAAAGAAGATAGAGTAGCACCACAAAAATTGGGCAAGATGAAAAAAAACAGATTTGGGGAAAGCACTGAAAAACAGAGAAAATTCAGTGTTCAAAAAATCAATGATCAGATTTCCTACCTGCGAATTCTGTTGAAAATAGTTTTGATATATTTGATCATTGACTTTTTCTGAAAAAGAAAACCAGTTCATTTCTTGCATCTCACCAACTCAGAATTTATTTTAGACTAAAACAAGATTTAAATATAAATAAAGAGAAATCTCAACTATGAGCTATGCATCAACTCTATTTCTGGAAGCTTTTAGCTGGACCCTGAAAACACAGGATATTTCAATGAAGCAGCTAGTGCCAGGTTGCATACTGGTTTAAATTATTGAATGTCTCACCCGTGATGGATTTGATAGTTTCACTTGATACGGTTTGCCCAATCAAGTCATATTGAACTAAGCTGGAAGACTCCTTTGGAACTTCTACTGATTTCTCAGGACCTTTTGTCCAGGTATAAATCATCTCACTCTTCGGATAGGCATCTGGAGGACAGCAGAGAAGGTGATTAGGTCAGGGCCCCTTTTCCATCAGCAATGATAGCCAATGATTAAGAATATTACACATGTTCAAGAAAGACGGAATAAATGAAGACAAGTATCATTATGATTTATTCAAACATGTTTAAGATTGAGAAAACTGTAGAGATAAAATAAGCAGTCTTGCAACTGGGCATATCTCTCGTTTTTATGCCAAAGGTTTACAGGAGGAGAGACTAAAACTAAGGCAACTAAAATGCAATCTATGCATCAGTGCCCTTGGATATGTTTCCATACTAATAGGATAAGCGAGTGAAAAGGAGAAATAATAACCCCCACCCAAAGTACTGTCCAACTGCTATTCCTTTCCCTTCTAACTCACTTCTAATACTTGACTAATATTGACATCTTCCTTCCTCATGCAGCTCTCTCAAACACCAGATGCTGCCTATAATAATATGACAACAAAAACAAAAAGCAAATCCGACTTTGGAAGCGGTCTCCATGGGTCACCTATTCCAGACTCTGCCTCTGGGCAATACCCATGCTGTTTGGGAACCATTCTGCGGGTGACAACTGGCTATGCAGTTTGTAGAGCTCTCCAGGGAACGTACTTACACAACCAATTCCACTACCTTTAAACTCTCACAATCAGAACATTTTCCCTTCCATCTTCAGCAAATCCCTCCCAGCGGCAATTCAAGCCCATTTTCTGTTATTTGGTGATCAGTGCACATGCAGGCCAGCTGCTTGCTTACCAGCCTCCCCAGAACAGACAGCTTGGCTCACACACGGATGAGTTCAAAAGAACCAGGATGAATTGTGTGCTGCCCTCTGCAAACCTTCCTAAAATGGCCAGAGCACAGTGGGCCCTCAGTGAAAATGTTTAATTCTACGAAAGGAGTTGGTACATAGGGAGACCATCTCTACAAAAGACTTTGCAAAACGAGCTATAAGGCTTGCATTGTCATTTAGTGGTGTGCAATCAGGTCTAAAGGTTTATCTTCTGAAGTATATTCATGCTTAAACCATGCATTTAAAGTCTCAGAATGCTATGACCCCGTCCATGATATTTTAAGTCAGGTATCCTTTCTGTCCACGTATTTTTCTGTTTTTATCTTTTCTCATTAAATCACTGGTTGGAGAGCAAAGGACTCACTCTAGTTTCAAGTTAACCCAACTTGAATGTTGTGATTACTGAGGGTTATAAAAAGAATGGTGACTGCCAAGCCTCATTAAGTTAAGCAATAAGCAATAATAACAGCAGGCGACAGTTTCACAATCATTGTGACTGGGAATCTGAAGCAATAGTAAAAGTCAGCATCTATTTTTGGTAGATTCTGATTGAGTCAAATATTTGAGGCAGACGTGAGAAGAGGCAAGCACATTTGCTGCCGTCTCTGAGAGGGGAGCTTGGGTAAAAGAGACTCCTATTCTGTCCTACCCATTCATTTCATCCTTTTGCCTTAACGACCACAAAATATCCCAAATCCATGTCTTACACCTCCTCTAATCTAGTTTAAGTCACTACCATCTGTCTATTAAGACACACAGCCTCCAGCTCTTCTGTTTCTACAATCCATTCTCCCTAGAATGAACAGAAAGCGTGATCTTACTGGGGCTAGAAGTGAAAACTATTTGTACTATAATAATTTAAATTTCACTCAAGACAGCTCTAATCTAGGTAAAGCCCTTTCTCAACTACCCTTAGTAAAACCTTCCAAAGGCATCCAATAGCACTTAGAATAATATCCAAACTAACTAATGTAGTCTACAAGGTACTATACTATCTTGTTCTGCCTACATATCAGACCACCCTCCTAATGTGTGTTGGTCATGCTTCAGTCATTTTCACACTAACAGTGCTACTTATGTTATTCTAACCCAGGTCATGTCAGGAAGCCCTGAACATTCTCTTGCTTTTTACAAGTCTTCCATAAAGGTTTCTGCTTGTAACAGAAGCTGTTAAATTTAACAAATGAAAAAAAATCATTTTCTCTGATACACTACCAACACAAGGAGTTCTGCTGCTGCTGCCGCCGGGTCGCTTCAGTCGTGTCCGACTCTGTGCGACCCCAGGCTCTGCCGTCCCTGGGATTCTCCAGGCAAGAACGCTGCGTGGTCCCTAAATTTCACCACTGATCACCAACCTATCAACCATGACTCAATCTACCTAGGCTTTCTAGGCAGCAAATAGAAATAATTTTTGCTTCTGGTGAGGGAAAAGGGGTTGTTTTTACCTCTTAATTTAAATGTATTAGGTAATAAACTGTCTCCTAAAGTCAGACCTTGACAAGTCATTGTCATGGGCAACGATTTAGATGGTAGACTATGGAAACCCATGAACATTTGAAGACATCAGCTTGCATGAGGTAATAAGTCCTAACCACAATCTGATTGTAACTTACAGCTCCCAAATTTCAAGGGGCAGGCATGGCCATCCATGGGGAAGTCCACCAATCTCATGGGACATTCTGCACTTATGGTGAGTCTATGAGCGAAAAAAGGCAATTAAATAAAATCAGAACTTTAAGAAAAATAATTGTATAGATTCCTCAATGAGGAAGAAGGAGGAAAGGAAGGAAAAAAGAAAGACAGGAAGGAAGGAAGGGAAGAAAGAAAAAAACAGTTAAAAAATTTAAAAAATGACTACCTCATTGTGTATAAAATTGTGCCATTTCTCATAATTCTAAAAAGCTTATTTGGAGCTGTCATATTATGTGAGACAGATTTCTTTCCATTCCTGAAGAAAGTATCAGGAGTCCATACTTTTGTTACCATCATATTGTTCAATCTCAAAATTTCAATGGGGCCATCATATTTTAGTCTTTTGTCAATCCATGTCTGTCTGAAGAACACATCCATTGTGTATTCCTAGGGAAGTTAGTTTGTGACATATTCAATCACAGATGATTACACATAAATATGCAGAAAAATGCATTAAATTCTAGATTTGCCCTCAGAAAAGACTACCCCAGATAAAAACAAATAGGAGCAAATTTTTTTAAAAAATCAATGGAGCAAAAGGACTGTTAGCAATTAAAGCATATTATGTCCATCTGATACATTAATCTTCTACATTTGTTAGATAAATAAATTATCATACATATTAATCAGTCAAGAATAATTAATTTAATAAAACTGCCAGCCACCAGGTAATTACAGTTGTACTTTGTTTTAAACCAAGTGGCAAAATTAGTTAATGTGTAACAAATAACATTGCATAATTAATCATAAAATTGTAGGCATCTCTTTAAGACAAAGTAAAGTATGTAAAAGAGAAATCTTATATCCACAGAATTTATTAACATTCATCTAGGGTCATTTATTTGACCTGGAAACTGAAAATATTTAATATTAGAAAGAAAAAAACTGAATTTATCCTGACCAGGGCTTGATGTTCTACGGAAGTTCTATGGGAGGACGGGTGGTAAGCAAGTGGGCCAACAAGGAATTCTAAATGCAATTAGGACTACAATATAGTTTCATACCAAAACTAATTACACTCTCTAATTTTCTCCTCCTCAATAATTTTCTAAGGGAAAAATATTACATACAACATTGTATTGTGGGGAAAGAACGTTCTTTTCTTTGTTGAGAATGACTCCAAACCAGAAAAAAACCTCAAATATTACAGCTGAAATGCAAATTAAACTGTCTCACTTTTTAAAACTTTTTAGGCTGTTATTTCACTTTGTAGCTCTGTGTAATCGATTATAAGGTAAATGTTAATTGCCCTTTTTTATGCATGTTTTCTCCAAACCTCAAAAAGTACATTTAATTTCCCAAATACCTACCATTTCAACATCAGAAACAGGTCCAAAGCTAGTGACATATATGTCAGTTTTCACTTCTGTAACAGGACCTAGTAGGCATGAATTAAACAAGTGTGAAAAGATAATTACCAATCCTACAGGCAAGGAGGGTTTGATAATTAAAAAGTAAAGACAGATATATCATGTTTTTAGAAGCATCTTAAGTTTTCAGTGAGATTATGCATCTCTCCAAAAAACATAGACAAAAGAACAACAAAACCAGAAAGCAATATTTACTTACAGGCAAAAAGAAACCCCAAGTACTTACTGCGAATCTTAGCTCTTCAAAGATACATCACCCCTGGGCACTGTCACAACAGGCAGTGCAGGGAAAAAAAGCTTTTAGCCTTTGTGATTTTTATTATAGCCCAACATCTGATTGGCTTTTAGTAAAGAAGTGAGCTGTTGAAAAGAGGGAACTTAACCACAAGAGTGAAGTAGAGAAAAACCATAATGGCTGTGAGGAACACATCTTCAGTGAGTTGAGGATATTGGTAAATAAACACAAAAATGATTCAGGTCACTTTTAACAATTGGAAGATCATCCACTGGTAATTAGGATCAAAGACAAGCTCTCCTAAAAGTCAAACCCATGTATGTTCTGCCGCCTATTTGCTGTGTGATCTTGGGCAAGTTACTGAACTCCTCAAGGGCAGCAACCTTACCTATCAGATAAGACTAGTGATGGGGATCAGATGAAATTTCTCCTATGAGACCCTGAACACAGTTACACTTCCATGAAAGTATTTATCAAGTTATTAGCTTTTCTTTGCTATTGAGATTCTTTCCTACCTCTAAATAAGACTGTTTGAGGAACAAGTGTACGGGTGTGTTTGGCAGAAGCAAAACATAGGAGCATCACGGCAACAGGGCCGACACAGATTTCAGACAGAGGAAACGCGGCGATCCGGGTTTAGCATGCTGCTTAGAATAGGAAATTCTGGAGTTCAAATTCGGCGCTAATAGTTTCCAATTGCATGATCTTGGTCAAGTCATATATCATCAGATACAGAGGAGGTTTTAATGGTTATTAGCTGAAATAGTACATGTAAGTCACTTGTCCCAGTCTCCGGAACATAACATGCTCAATAATGATAGTAATTATTATTGTACATAATAGCAATTTTAATTACTAATAAAAAGTTTAAATTGTTGCACTCTTGAACATCATTTCTTATATAATGGTTCATAACACTGGATGGCCAGGGGCTACCTATTCCATACTGGAAAGAACAACATCTGTTATCAAGATGGACTGTTACTCTTGAATACTGGGTAGGCAATTGTATTTATGCCAAAAAGGACACAGAGCAATTGGAATAGCTTTATGCCCTAGGTCTAAAGTTATCCTCACAAAACAAATGAGAGTATTTCTCCCTCTACATGGTGAAGATTGAACCACAGAAAGAAAAGTAGTCTGAAGAAGAAAGAAAATTCTTTCCTGAATAAGTGTCCTAAGAAAAATATATCCTTTGGAAGTACAGTGAGAGAAAAAGCATAAATCTGGCTGATCTGCCATGAGCTTTCATTTTTTAAAAATAACATTTTCTAAAATGTTTAAAATTTTTTTCATTTTTAAAAAATAGCCAAAAAACAGAGAATAAGTGTGAGAAGTTGACTGAATTTTTATTTGAATGAGAAATTGAAAACAGCAACAACAAAAATATGATAATAATAAGCTTATGAAAGTCAAAGTGCTTCAGGAATAGACAGGTAATCCAGGAAGCAAATAATGTGTGTCAAACCCTAGTAGATGAAGACTTCATTCAAAGAAATTCAAAAGTGAGAGAAATCACTCTGCTAGCTTCTTAAAGACAATTGCTAAAGTGTCAAAAACATTACTTAGGTGCAAGTCAGGACAAGGAATGATAAGTCACCCAGAACAATTAAGGCTGAGTAGATCTTGACAATAAGACTGTTTGATGAGAATCTTAAGAAATTCAGTTACTTTGAAGATCAATTTAGGAAACTGGCTCTCAAACTTTAACTGGATTAGAACCACCCAGAAGGTTTATTAAGGCACACCTTGCTCACGCCTAGCTCAGACTTGCTGTGGAGTAGGTCTACAGTAGGGCTTGAAAGTTTACATTTCTAACAGTTCCGAGGAGATGCTGTTCACTTTAGTTCACAGAAAATGTTTCTCTGTTTCCTAGAACAGTATTTATTTAGCTAACTGTGTCCTGCAAAATAACACCACAGGTGTTCTATTGACATGCAGCAAAGGCAGGAAAGGGAAGGATTAAGCCAATCATGTTTTTCCTTATACATTTATTTTAAGGTGCATGGGTTTATGCTCATTCTTAAAGTTATAATGATTCCATGATAATAATGAATCTTTTCAAATTCTGACATAACATTGTTACTTTTTCAATGATTCTTAAAAAATGCTTTATGTTCAGAATTACAACCTTGATTATTTGTGACATTATTCAGTATTTATACAATCAAAAAGGTCTTTGAGATTGAATGAGAGCCTAAAAATATATAATTGATAGAAAAATGGCATTTGGACACGCATTCATTCAACATTTATTGAGTGACCACCTAATGTACACTATTCCATGCTAGGCTCTGGTGTTACAGTGGTAAATCAGAAGTTTCCTGCCTCAGGCACTTAACATGCTATTGGGGGAGTCAAAACATAAATAATAAGGAAATGAATTAAATGAAAGAATGCCATCATTCATAAGAGAAACAAAACAGGCTGGTAATAGTCTGGGAAAGCCACTGTAGATTTTTTAGTCACTCTTCAATGCAGTGACTTATTTTTAATTTCTAAATTCTATTTTTCTATTAAGGTGTAGCTGATTTCCTGTATAGTGGGCTCCCTGGTGCCTCAGACGGTAAAGAATCCACCTGCAATGCAGGAGACCTGGGTTCGATCCATGTTGGGAGGAGACCCTGGAGGAGAACATGGCAACCCGCTCCAGTACTCTTGCCTCGAGAATCCCCGTGGACAGAGGAGCCTGGTGGGCTACAGTCAATGGGGTCGCACAGAGTCAGACACGACTGAGTGACTCAGCACACAGCACATAGTTGATTAGTAATGTCGCACCGATCTCCAAAGCAGTGACTTTCAAACAGATCTGAAGAATGATCACAAGACATTGGAAAAACTGAGAAAATGCATTTCAGGTAAGAGAATTTCAAGGGGAAAAACTCAGACAGAACACCTCCTTCGCTGTCCATATTCTGAAAGTTGTATCTTTTAAGCAACTTATTTATAACATGTTAAGTTCACTGTTTTAAACTTGTAGAAATCCCAGTAAAAGAGATTGTTATGAGCTGAATTATATTCTCCTAAACTCACACGTTGAGCATCTAGTACTTCAGAATGTGATTATATTTTAAGATAGGGTCTTTACAAGGGGAATAAACTTAAAACGAGGTCATTAGGCTGGGCCTGAGCTTAATATGACTGGAGTCCTTACAAGAAGAGGAAGTAGAACAGAGATGCCCACAGCAGAAAAGCCATGTGAAGATACAGAGAGAAGACAGCATCTGTAAGCCGAGGGGACAGAGCTTAGAAGAAATCAGCCTGCTGACACATTGATCTTGGGCTTCCAGCTTCTGAAATTGTGAAAAAAACGAACTTGCTGTTATTGAAGTCGCTCTCTTCACGGCACTTTGTTATGGCAGCCGAAGCAACTGAATACAGAGGTTAATCATTTGTCCTGTCTTTTTCCCCCAAGTTGTCTCCCTCTGATAGGCAGTCCAGCTTTGACTCTGTTTATAGGCTATGGTAAGAAGTTTGATTTGTATTCCTTAATCACTGGGAGACCATTGCAAAGTTTGATGTAAGGAAAATATATGATCTGAATCACTCTGGCATCTGTATGGACACTGAATTATAGGGAAGCAAGAGGAGAGGAAGGTTTCCCTGCTGGCTCAGGCAGCACAGAACCTGCCTTCAATGCAGGAGACCCAGGTTCAATCCTGGGGTCTGGAAGATCCCCTAGAGAACGGAAAGGCAACCCACTCTAGTAACTTTGTTGGAGAAATTCATGGACAAAGGAGCCTGGAGGGCCACAGTCCATTGCGTCACAAAGAGCTGGACACACCCGAGTGACTCACATACACACACCCAGCTGAAGAAGTCTCTCCCAAGAGGCCACTGTACTAAGGCAGGTGACAGGTGACAGTGTCCTGGACAAGGGATGCAGCGGGGATGGAGAGTGGGCGAATCAAGGGGCATGTATGTGTGGAGCTGCTCCCAAGCGGTGGGGCTGCTCCCAAAGAACAATAAGCAAAGACACTAGCATTTACTGAAGGCCTACTATGTGCCAGTGGGCTACTCTGGGGGCTCAGCGGTAAAGAATCCACCTGCAATGCAAGAGAGGCAGGAGATACAGGTTTGATGCCTGGGTCGGGAATGCCCCTGGAAGAAGGCATGCAACCCACGCCAGATGCGCCACCTGGAAAATCCCACGGACAGAGGAGCCCAGTGGGCTACAGTTCATGCGGTCACAAACAGTCGGACGCAAATGAGTGACTGAGCAGGTATGTCTGCATGTGCCAAGCAGGGTACTAAATTCTTCCCATATACTATTTCATTCAATCTTCATAATACCCTCCAAAAATGGTATTTTAAGAGGACTTTACGGATATGGAAACTGAGCTCAGAGAAGTTAAATGTTATATTCCAGAGCCAGAATCATAAACTCCCTGGTTGATCTACAAGACATATTCTAGATTTACTATGTTAATGATGTTGTTAAATAGCACATCCACCGTTAATAACATACACATAACTTTCTATCTAGTACATAACATGCCATACCTATCTTTCTTGCTTTGTTTCATGAGTAGTTTCTGAACTACATTCCTGGAGCTCTTCTTATGCACTTGCTCCTCTTCTCATTACAGCCTGCTCCAGTCTCTCTCTTTAAGAGCAAAGGTTAATCTTAATTCTCTTGGAAATCCCAAACAAGCACAGTGTTTTTCACATACTAGGTGGTAAATAACTATGTGTTTGATTGTCTTCCCAGTATCATCCTAGTAGTGGTTTTAAAATCTCCCCAAAGGAAAAAAATTCTGGGATTCATTTGTT